GTCTGTGACAGATAGATGGTTACGTCCATGATTTTTGGACGCCGCGCAGCTGCACGATGACGCTGCCCGCAATTGTTGTTCTTTCTCGGACATGCTGAGCACGCCTGCCAGTACGATCGGATTGGATTGAGCTGCTCGGACTCCATGGCATCTTTGTAGTGTGATGTTAGCGTTTCCGTAGCCGCGTCGTGAGGCGGCTTGCGCAGAGGCTTCTCTCTTGACCCCAGCGATCCTGTTGTCGATGGCCTCCACATTGGACCGTGCTCATTTGATTAGTTCAGCCAGCTCTTTCTGCTGTGTAGTAAGTTCCGTGACGATGGCCAGACTCTTAGTCCGCTGCTGCCCTCTACGGCGCCTGCGGGCAAATCGCCATGTCGGCGCACTTGACTGGTAGTGTAAGCTTCCTTCTGTGTTGCTGGCGCGTCGGTTCGGCTTGTAGCCGCAACGTCGCTCTGGGCGCAGACTACGACCCATGCGCGTCCAAGAGCTGCCGCAGGTCTGCAGGCCGCGACCTCCCTCCACAGCCTCGCGAGCGCAGCGTCGGGCTTGGTGCCTCGCCAAGGCAGCCGCAGCCCTTCCCGGCGGCTCTCCCCGGCGCTGCCCCTCGTCGGGCTCGCGTGCGGATTGCCCACGCTCGTAGCAGCAGGCACTGGTTCTCCTGGCTGGTCCTCCTGCAGCCGCCCCCGTGGCAGCCTGGGCGCGCCCACGCGCCGCAGCTCTTCTCAGGGTAGTGCTGCCGCGGCTCCCGCAAGGCCTGGCACCAAAGTCAGGAGGAAAAGAAGCACACAGACACAATTGATCCTCGCTTCCCCCGAAAATATGGGAAAATATGGGAAGTGGGGGGGAAGACAGAAACCCAGAAAGTATGGGAAAATATGTGGAATCTTTTTATTTGTGTGCATTTATTTGTGTGTCCGGGGGCCCCTTCAACCAAAGCCTTGCCCCAGCCGGGCAGCGGCCACAGCCGGGCCGATGTGGGAGATCGGCGTCGGTTCGGGGAGGGTGCCCTCGTGCTCTCGTGCATCCGGGGGGAGGGCACCCTCGAACGATCTTATGGTTTGGGGTGTTTGGGCGTCCAGAGGGTCTCATTAGGGGAACGAAACATGGCATACACATAAAAACTCGGAGGTCCGCGCAGATTGCTTGGATCTGCGCTGGACCCCCCTCCCTGGCGCGCGGAGCGCGCCAGGGGCGGCTCCGGAGGCGCCGCCAGGGGGCCCCAGCGCCGATCCGAGAAGTCCGCGCGGACCTCCGAGTTCTTATGTTTATGTCACTGTTCGTTTCCCTACTCCGGATTTTACAATAAAGTGGTGGGGGTCACATTTTGGGGGGGGTCTGATTTGGGCTGTCTTGAGGGTTCGGGGAGGGTCTGGGCAAGGGGCCGCCCTTTCATTGGATGGTCTGGGAGGGTCTAGAACTTCTCGTCTGGGAGGGTTGAGACCCCCCTTTTATCGCGAAATCTGGAGTACTCCTGTTCCCGAGTTATGGGGAGCGGCGGCTGGCCGCCGCCGGCGTGCCGGGCGCGCGGGAGGAGGTCCGAGCCGCTGGGAGCCGACCTGGCCTGCCCCCAGGGCAGCTCGGCCGAGGCTCCGCGGGAGCAGCGGGAGGACCGCGGCAGCCCACCCTCGCCCTCCTCCTCTTCATTCTCCTCCTCCTCGGCCTCCTCCTCCTCCTCCTCATTCCCCTCATTCTCTTCTTCCTCCTCCTCCTCCTCCTCCTTCTCCTCCTCATTGTTTAGCTCATTCTCTTCCTTCTCTTCCTTCTCCTCCTCCTCCTCCTCCTCATGCTCATGCTCATCCTCATCCTCCTCCTCCTCCTCCTCCTCCTCCTCCTCCTCCTCCTCGGCTTCTCCTCCTCCCCCTCCCCCTCTGTTCCTGGGTCCGACCGTGGGGAAGAGGGCGAGCAGAAGCAGGAGGAGAGGAGGAGAGAAGTGGGGAGCGGGTGCGGCGGCGGGCAGGGCCGCGGACACCCAGACATCACGCCGATGTCGACGCTGCCGTCGAGAAAGCACGCGTAAGATTATGATGTTCCAATCTACTTTAGCCTTGATCACCAGACAGAATTTCGAGCACCAGAAAAGTACCCAAAAACTTGAGGGTTTTCATGTGTCGGGCCCTGGGAGACACTCGTCCGGCACTTTTTCGACACTCTTTCGACACTCGTTCGACACTTTTCCAGGTGCTCGAAATTATTTCTGGGATGTGGCCCTTAAGTACGATGGGAGCAACATAAGCGTAAGAGTGACGCTTCGCCAGAGTGACCTTTGGTGCGGGCCCAGGGTCAGAAGCGTAAAAAACACGCCCCTTACCCTGGTTCACGAGGCGCCGTGCGCTGAACCTCCTGTGGGCCGACGGGGCGAGCCCTGCACACCGCGCGTGTCGCGCGGCGTCCTGGCGGCCCTCTGGCCTTTGGGAGCTCCCAGGAGGCTTACCTTGGCATCGCTCGGACGTGTGCATTTTTCCTTCGGCGAGGACCGTCGAGGAGCATCCTTGATCACTTGGCGACAAAACCACGCGCGAAACCGAAAAAAACACAGGAAATGGACGTCCGAGCGATGGCCAGTTACAGGCCGCGCGCTTGTGACCCGGGGCCTGCGCGCCGGGTCCGGCCCGGCCCCGCACCGCCGCGGCGCGCCAGAGGTCGCTCCTGAGCCGATGGGGCGCTCTCGCTGTGGCTGCCGAGCCTCCACCTGTGGCTGCGCCCGTGCACGGCGGCTCTCCCGTGAACCTCTGGCCTGTGGCCTTGCCCGGCCACGCGCCGAGGGCGGCGGGGGGAGGGGGGAGGGCTTCTCAGAAGCGCTCCTGCAGTCTTCGAGAGCGCGGGGCCTTGTCGGTAAGATGCCAGGCCAGCGCCTCCTCAGGAGCAGCCTCTTCCTGAGAAGCCTTCCGGCTCCCCCCGACCCCCCATGGGGTCGGAGGGAAGGTGGCGGGCAGCAGGTGCCTCGGTGGCGGGCCTCACGTGGTGCCGGGGACGACTCTCCCGCTAAGGTTAAGTCGGGCGTGTCCCCCTACAGGAGGAATGTTGAAAAAGTGTTATAACATAGTCTGGGGACGAGTTCCTTGGTATGTTTCATTACTGTTGAGTCATTTTCGAGCATGTTTTATTTTTCGTTCAAAATACGCCTGTAGTGGGGACATGCCCGACCTAACGCTAAGGCCTCCCAATCATTAAATGAATTCTGGCCGTTGCTTGAGATGCTGTCCCATGCGTGCACTTGTGTAATGGGTCCATGGGCTGTTTATTCTGGCAGGTTTTGCTTCGGGCTCTAGCCGCTTGGGGGTGAGTGGAAGATGGCCCGCAGTCCCCGTGCGGCTTTCACCGGTTTTCAGCAGCCAGTCATGTGTTTGACAACCACTCTGCCCATGGAAATGTTTGTGTTCCCCACGGGCTCGGGAGTGATCATGTGAGCCGATTTGGACATATAGCGAATTTTGCGCACATGCTTGCACACATGGGGCAGCGTGCCATGCGTATCCCTAGCGTTTCAGCTGCCTCTGCTGGGTAAATGTAAGGAGAGTGTTCATTTGTCTCTCGGGCAGATGTTTGAATATCTTGGAAAGCTTGGACCGTGCTCAGAAGTTATCATAACCCTTCTTGCGCATTATTATGCTTCTCCTCCTCTTCCTCCTCCTTCGGGTTGCCCCCCTCTTTCTCATTGTGTTCCTTCTCCTTCTGGTCATCCTTCTCCTCCCGCCAAGGCTGTCGAGCGGGGCGAGCGCTTCTCGTTCACGGAGCTGCTGGACACCTCGGCCAGCTTGGACTGTCCGGGGGTGGGTGGGAGGGTGGGGGGACAAAGGCTTGCTAATAACAGCTTTTACAGACTTTACGGAGGCGGGTGTGTGAGTGATAAGAATAGGAAGGAGGAGGAAACGGCTTCCGTGGTATGGCTCTGCGGCAGGCAGGTGTGTCTGCCCACAGTCCTTTCTAGTCCTCTGTGTTTGCAGCGGCGAGCCCCCTTTCGCAATTCAATCCTTGGTGTGGCAAGACTGGTACTGGTCGCCTGGTGGCCTCAGGATGACCCCTGGGATCGCCGGAGGGATTCCAAGGCATCGCTCCGAGCAGCGGCACGTGCCTCGAGAGCGCCGCTGCGCCCACACGAGCTCGAGGCGCCTGGCGCCAGCAGCCTGGAGCTCGGCGCCACCCCGGCATACTTGATACTACGTCTGCGTCGACCCCCCCAGGGGCGACGCGCGCACCGAGAAATCTGACAGTACATGGCGTCGTGGCGGGCGCTTTCTGGCCACACCGCCCGGGAAACGATCTACCACAAGAGGGGTCTACTAGATGTTCGGGTCGGGCGCGCACCTCCCAGGAGGGCATCTACTTTTAGTATGTCTCGCTGCGTCCCATGGAGCAGTGGAGCCGCGGCGCCGTGCCGCTCGAGGACTGCCACGGGCGCCGCGAGGTTCGATGCCAGGCCACCGCCAGACGCCGTGGGCAGCACCCGTGAGCACCAGTGGCGCTGCCGCGTGCCCAGCGCCCTCGGGGCGGCGGAGGCGAGACGCCGGGGTCCCCTGCTCCTGCACGCGCGCCGCGCGGAGCGGGAGGAGGAGGAGGAGGAGGAGGAGGAGGAGGAGGAGGAGGGAGGGAGGAGGAGGGGAGGGGGAGAGGAGGAGGGGGAGGATGAGGAGGGAGAGGAGCGGGGGAGAGGGGGGAAGGGGGGAGGATGAGCAGGAGGAGGAGGAGGAGGAGGACGAGGACGAGGAGGAGGGGAGAGGCGGAGGAAGGAGGAGGAAGGAGGAGGAGGAGGAGGGAGGAGGGAGGGAGGAGGAGGAAAGGAGGAGGCAGACCGTGCGTCTCGGCTTCGGCGCAGGACGAGGCAAAAGGAGACCTCCTCCTCCTACCTTCGTCCTCCTCTCCTCCTCCTCCTCCCTCCTCCTCCTCCTCCCTCCTCCACCTCCTCCCGTCCCGCCTCCACCTCCGCCTCCGCTTCCTCCTCCTCCTCCTCCTCCTCCTCCTCCTCCTCCTCCTCCTCCTCCTTGTCCACCTCCGCCGTGCTCTGCGGCCTCAGTTTGCATACAGCGTGTCCCCTGTTGCCAATCCGCCATAGCAGTCGCCCTCTGCCCAGCCGCCGGCGCAAAAAATTGTGTGGGAGCTCGCTTCGGTGCCCACTCCTCGTCCTCCTCCTGCTCCTCCTCCTCCGCCTCCTCCTCCTCCTCCTCCTCCTCCTCCTCCTCCGCCGGAGAACGTTTTTGGGGTGCTTTGGTTCTTCTCGGGCCTCCAGTGGCATCCGGAGGCCTCTGGAGGCCGCTGGAGACCTCCCAGGCACCTCTCTCTTTTCCTTCACCCTCCCTCGCGTTCTCTCGCGAGGTTCCGACCTGCCAGGAGCAAGGAGCAAAGGCGGAGGGAGGTGCACCGAAGGGACCTCACGATGTCTGATATCTTCGGGGGGGGGCGGCCTGGACCACGAAACTTGTTCCCCAACGAGGGCCGACCGCACGTTCGAATGTCAGGGGCTGCTCCTCTCTGGCTCCCCCCCGAGGATGGCCTGGGCATGCAGTACGTGGCGCGCCGGGTGCAGCTCGGCCCTCCACAGACGGAGCGGCACGGCGCGCATGATTCAGGCGTACGTTCGGCCCGAGGTATAAGATCGAGGTCGGCTCGGGGATGGTACCCTGATGTTCTTCGTGCTTGCGTGATGTTCCCGTGCATCCTGGGGAGGGTACACTCGGGTGCTCTGTGAATTCTGGGGCGGCGGAGGTTTTCACGTTCTTGAAGGCATCTCATCCTGCCCTAGGTTTAAGCCGGGCCTGTCCCTCTACAGGGGGAACCTCCAAGAATAGTTTAAACATCGTCCGGGGACGATTCTTTTAGCATCTGACTATTCTGAAGCGTTTCTGGTATATTTGTTCACCTTCCGTCCCAAATCCGCCTGTATGAGGACATGCCCGACCTACGCCCAGGTCCGACCGTCTCCTGGCCCCTCGTGGCAGGAGACATGCGGATACCCGCGGCCTCGCAGTCCAGACCCCTTCGGCCGCGGGCCCCCGTGGATGCCGGGCGGCTCCTGGCGGATGCCCCGCGCGGGGCGCATCCATGCAGCCGCTTATGTGTGGGAGCTCGTTTGGGCTTCCTCTCCCCCTGTCGCGCGCACGCTGCTGCTGCCGCTGCCCCCCCCCCTTAAAAACACCCGCTGGCGCCACACCTCCCTCCTCCTCCGCCTCCACCTCCGCCTCCGCTTCCTCCTCCTCCTCCTCCTCCTCCTCCTCCTCCTCCTCCTCCTTGTCCACCTCCTCCGTGCTCTGCGGCCTCAGTTTGCATACAGCGTGTCCCCTGTTGCCAATCCGCCATAGCAGTCACCCTCTGCCCAGCCGCCGGCGCAAAAAATTGTGTGGGAGCTCGCTTCGGTGCCCACTCCTCGTCCTCCTCCTGCTCCTCCTCCTCCTCCTCCTCCTCCTCCTCCTCCTCCTCCTCCTCCTCCTCCTCCTCGGGTCGCCTACGGGCCGTGGGGAAACCGTGCAGTGCCGGCAGTCCGTCGGGGAACGAAGCATGACACAAGCATAAAAACTGGAGGTCCGCGCGGATCTCTCGGATCGGCGCTAGACCCCCCCCCTGGCGCGCGGAGCGCGCCAGGGGCGGCGCCGGAAGCACGGCCAGGGGGGTCCAGCGGCGTGGACTTCCGAGTTTTTACGTTTATGTCATTCTCCGATCCCCGATGTATTCTGAATAGAGACATATTTGGTGTCTCACGAGCCACGGAAACATGCAGTCACGTGCATGTTTCCGTGGCCCGTGAGACACCCACCCCCCGCCCCCCGGCCGCCTAGAATCAATTTGGGAAACCAGCGACCTCCAACCTCCAGTCTGACCACGGGGACTGGAGCCGGGCCAGGTTTCTCCGAAGGCGTTGCAAACAGATTGGGGAGGTGGAGGCGGGTGCCCCGCGCCGATCGGCCAGTACCTGTTCGCAGAAGGGGGGGACGGGGGTGTCTTTGGGCGCGAACGATCAGTGGCTCTGCCTCGCGCTGTCTCTCAGGGCGGTCAGCCGACTCATCGCGACCGCTGGGTTCGGCTCGAGTGCCTTGTGGCGGGGTCCAGCACGTCGTCTCAGGCGGCTGATGATGTGGTTCGCTCGTTCAGTTCGCGCCCCCTGTGGACTGAAGAGATGTCCGCCATATTTCATCCTTCCTCCTCCCTCTCCTTCTTCTTCCGTCCGGGAGCCCGTCTCCTCTTTCCGTCCATTCGACAATCAGCGCGCATAGCCTGCATAGCGATCCTACGTTGTCTGTGGAGGCTTGGTCGCGTGAATATCGCGAAGGTCGTGTTTGTATGCTCCCTCTTGTTCACAACAACACTCGCGTGGCAGGACTCACAGATCATGCTGTTATCTTCTTTGCATAGCTCGTTGTCCTGTGCAATATTTGGCCCCTGGCTTTCGGCGGATGTCCCCTGCGCTGGCGGAAGAAAATCAGCTCTACGGCACTCGTCGGGTGGAACTCTGAGCTGAGGTTGAGAAGCTTGAATTCCTCGCTCGTGTCAACTTTGTCTATACGTCATTGCCGATGGCCGAGCTCCACGACGTCTTGGTCCCCACTTGTGGCACCTTGCGCTCCAGTGCTATATTGCTCTATTGCTTCTTGCTGCCGCCGTAGACATGATCTTCCCGGTACTTCGTGGGATATCATTATTGACGCCATGGATGTTGAGACAATGTGTATTGGTCTAGAACGAGCTTGTTTTTCCTCGGATGACTTCGTACAGGATACAGAGGAGTACAGTAGTTTGCCACAGGAGGCTGTTTGGTGAGTTAACGCTGCTCCTGGGGGTACTATAGTATTCCAGTGGCCGAGGGATGTTTTGTATGGCCTCTCTACGACTGCTTTGGGATAGTTCGTCTTGCATGTGAGTCTCGGATGCGTCGAGCTCTGGCTGCATACTGCGGTGTTGCGCACGATCCGCATGGCGACGACAGAGCCGATCAAGAAGAGGGCGCTGCGCCCGCGAGATGTCGCCCACCACGAGCGCGAGGCCCCGACAGGGGTGCTGGCGCCCCTCCCTCGCCCGAGGTCCTCCCCTGAAGGTCTCCGCGAGGAGGGACCGGATGCCGAAAGAAGACTCCTCCTGATCCCCGGCGCCCTCCTCCCGTTCCCCCTCCCCCTCCTCCTCCTCCTCCGCCTCCCCCTCCCCCTCCTCCTCCTCTCCTCCCCCTCCCCCCTCCTCCTCCTCCTCCTCCTCCTCCTCCTCCCTCCTCCTCCTCCTTCTCCTCTCCTCCTCCTTCCCCTCCTCTCTCCTCCTCCTCCTCCTCCTCCTCCTCCTCCTCTCCTCCTCCGCCTCCTCCTCGGGTCGCCTACGGCCCCGGGGGAGACCGTGCATCCCCCCCCCCCTCGCAGACCAGACCTTGGCTGCTTCGGGCGACTGGTCAGGGCGCGCCTTCCCCGCCCCCCGGGTCAGCTGGCGCGCCCGGCAGAAGCAGGGATCGACGGCGCACGGGCGCAGGCCCAGGCCCCGTCCCCTCCCCCACCCTTCGGTTAGGTCGGGCAGGTCCCCCTCTCCAGGGGGATGTTGGACGACAAATGAAACCTACCCCCCAAAGTGGCCCCCGAATGGCCAAAAGATAGTCGAAACATCGTCCCCGGAGCAGCTTTTGTTGGACCATTTTCGAATCTTCCTCCTGTGGAGGGACACGTCCGACTTAAGCCGTCGGCCAGATGTCGGAACCCAGGCCAACAAAGCGCCCAGCTTTGCCCTAGAGTGAGCCAAGAATGACAACCCTGGATCGCATGGAAAATGATACCTTCGACATCGGAGGAGATGGCTGCCGCTGCGGTACTTGACCCCGTTGAGCCTCTGGATCGCCTCCCTCCTGCTCGCACGTTTCGCATGCTGTTGCTGGTGTTCGGATATGGGGACGCGTGCACCTTCCCCTCTCGTCTCTTTCCTCCCGCTCTCGTATCCTTGAGGCGGAACGCCAGTTATCTCTGCTGGGGCTGGCCAGCTTCTCGCCTCCTCCGCTGGTTTGTCGCCTCATCCGCCAGTCTCGGTCTCGCCCCCCCCCCCCCCCCTCCCCAGGCAGCAGCTCGGAGCTCCAGCCTAGAGGCTCGCTGAGGAACGGTCGTTGTGCAGTGCTCAGGTTCCCTGTCCCTCGCCTCTTCTCAGAGCCCCTAATCATCTGGGGCAACTCGGGTCAGGGCTAACTCGGGTTGTTTTTTTTTTCGGGAATCCGAAGCCGAGTTGGCGCGGGCCCGAGCTACCCCGGGGTATTTCGGGTCAGGGCCAACTCGGGCTCGCTCTTCGGGAATCCAAGCCCGAGTTACCCCGGGACCGAGTTACCCCGGATCACTCGGGCGCCCAGTCTTCTCCCTCTCTTTCCATCACTAGCGCGACTCCAATGCGGAGCAACTTATGGGTTTTCTGGCCGCGCCGTCGTCGGTTCACTTTCGGCAGAGGGGGCTAACGGGTCGGGCGGCCGCGCCGTCGCCAGAATTCCCAACCCCTCCTCCTTGTCGGGTCTTCTTTGGTGTTCCGCAGGTGGCGCTCGTCGGTGTTCTGTGACCCTCTCTTGGTGGTGAGGGGGGTTTTGCGACCCCCCCTCCATTTTTTCCTGGTGAGTCCGCGTCGTCGGTTCTGACGGTCCTTGGGTTTGATACAAATGATCCCCCCGTGATCTCCCTCCCCCTCCTCCTCCTCCTCCTCTTCCTCCTCCTCCTCCTCCTCCTCCTCCTCCGCCTCCTCCTCCTCTTCCTCCTCCTCCTCCTACCTCATCCTCCTCCGCCTCCTCCCCCTCCTTGTCCTCCTCCTGCCTCCTCACCCTCCTCCTCCTCCTCCTCCTCCTCCTCCTCCTCCTCCTCCTCCCCCGTGATTTCCATCCCCTTGCACCTGCGAGTTGGCGTCGCGCCCGCGCACCGCGCGCCTTGGCACGGCGCATGGCCCCCTTCGCGCCCGCGGCATGCCCACCCTGGGCGCCGCTCCTCCCTCCGTCGGCGGCGAGGCAGCATGGCTGCACCACCGATTGAGCCACACGGGGACACCGAGAAGTGATTTGTTTTTTCATTGTAGGGGCCTCCGACCCTGTGCCGCCGATCCGGGGTGCTGCCGATTCTGCTTGCAACGGATGACCTTTCATTTTTGAAAGTAGAGCGCTCGCTCGAGACATCCTCAGAAGATAGAGAGGTTGAACTCGCTTGGGCAACCTTCGGATATTCGAAAGTGACGATCTCGCGTGAACAGCCAAACTGATGGGATGTCCCCTCCCACCTTCCGGGCCTGAATGGCGTCAGCCATGGCGTCAGCCCTCCCCCCCCTCTCCCCGACTCCTCCCTCGCGGGCCTGAATGGCGTCAGCCATAGCGTCGCCCCCCCCTCCCCCCTCCCCCCTCCTGGGCCTGAATGGCCCCCCCCGACAGCGAAGCTTGAGCGAGCTCCCCCCCCTTCCCCCCTCCCAGGTCTGAATGGCGTCAGCCATGGCGTCAGCTCCCCCCCCCCTGACTCCCTCCTCCCAGGCCTGAATCTCCCCCCCCTCCCCCCTCCTGGGCCTGAATGGCGTCAGCTATGGCGTCAGCCCCCTCCCCCCGGCAGAGCGAAGCTTGAGCGAGCTCCCTCCCCCCTTCCCTCCTCCCGGGCCTGAATGGCGTCAGCCATGGCGTCAGCTCCCCCCCCCTCCCCGACATCCTCCCTCCAGGGCTGACTGGCGTTCAGCCCCCTCCCCCCTATTCCCTCCGGCCGGGCCTAAATGGGTCAGGCCCCCCCCCCCCCTCCTCCCTCCTGGGCCTGAATGGCGTCAGCTCCCCCCTCCCCCCCCCCATCCTCTTCCCTCTCTAGGCCAGGCCTGAATGGCGTCAGCTCCCCCCCCCCCCCCCCCCCCCACCCCCCCTCCTCCCTCTGGACTGAATGGCCGTCAGCCCGCCCCCCTTCCGAGAGAGCGAGCGAAAGCAGCACCCCCAGCTTCCTCTCTCCCAGGCCTGAAATGGCGTAAGCTCCCCCCGGCCCCCACTCCTTCCGGGCCTCTATGAACGGTATTCAGCCCCCTCCCACTTCCCCCCTCCCGGGCCTGAATGGCGTCAGCCCCCCGCCCCCTCCCCTCCGGGCCTGATTGGCGTCAGCCCCCCGCCACCCCCGACAGAGCCGAACCCCTCCCCCTCTCCCTCCCGGGCCTGAATGGCGTGAGCCCCCCACCCTCCCTAGTTCCTCATGGCCTCATGGCGTCAGCCCCCCCCCCCCCCCCCTGCCGACAGAGCGAAGCTTGAGCGAGCTCAAGCCCACGCTCTCAGAAACTCACACGCCGGATCGGCGGATTCGTTGTGTTGCCGATCGGCGCGGGCCTTCCTCGCAATGGAGTGGATCTAGGCTGTTTTTTTGGCGCCTGTTTCGAGCGGGTGGGGCCTCCATTCGTAGGACACGCTGTTGCAAACAGTCGCACGAAGCAGATCGGAGGGCACCAACTATACACCAACACCGATCCTGGCCCAGGATCACCCTGGGCCCAGGATCGGTGTATATGCCTTCCTTGCGCAAGGCAGGAGGGCGTATACACCGATCCTGGGCCCAGGGTGATCCTGGCCAGGATCGGTGTTGGTGTATAGTTGGTGCCTTCCTAGCAGAGGTCTGGAGCCAGAACCCCCCCCCTTCCGCCCAATGTCGAAACGCTGCATATAACAAAACGCTCACGAAGCGAATTGCCCAGCGTGCAGGCGAGAAGAATGAGGCAGACGGGGCGGCCGCGGAGGAGGAGGGAGGAGTAGGAGGAAGAGGAGGAGGAAGAGGAGGAGGAGGAGGGGGAGGGGGAGGGGGAGGGGGAGCAGGAGGAGGAGGAAGAGGAGAGGAGGAGGAGGAGGAGGAGGAGGAGGAGGAGGAGAGGAGGAGGAGGAGGAGGAGGAGGAGGAGGAGGAGGAGGAGGAGGGAGGAGGAGGGCCCCCAAAGGCGGAAGACTTCCAACCTGAGCGCGCTGGCGCGGCCGGCCTCGTCAGCGGGGACCGTGGCAGCTGCCGGGCCGCAGCGTCGGGGCACCCGCGGGCGATGACGAGGCCCAGCAATTACGTGAAAGCATTGCTTTCACGTTCTTGGCCGTCGTCGTCGTCGCCGTCGTCGTCGTCGTCGTCGTCGTCGTCGTCGTCGGCGTCGGCGTCGGCGTCGGCGTCGGCGTCGGCGTCGGCGTCGGCGTCGGCGTCGGCGTCGGCGTCGTCGTCTCCCGTCGCTCGTCGCTCGTCGTGTTGCGCGCGCGGGTGCGGCTGCGGTGCCGGAGCCACACGGCGGGTGGGGGCGTTACGTCATACCCCCCCTCGCCCCCCCCATGACGCCCGTCATCGCCGAACATAAAGAAACGCTCTCCCAAGGGAGCGCGCAGTGACGCCGTCTGCGAAGCAGGACGAGGTATTTGCACGACACGGACAGCGCCATGAGGCCGCCCATGTGCGTGTGTGTGTGTGACCGGGTTGACAAGGTACGGCACGTACACGAGCAATCTAGTTTTCAGACCGACACCAGCAAGATGCTGAGCCCGTGAGGTGGGGTGCAAGGCGGCAAGACCAGGCCCAGGGGCACCGCCACATAGGGTAAGCTGCCAGC